TATTTAATTTTTAGATTATATTTATATAATTAATGTGACATTTGAATCTATATGGTAAAACCAGATTTGAGTATATTAATTAATTACGCCATTGTATGTTCAAGTTAGCGTAATCCGCATTCAACCGAACTGTTCAAGTCACGCATTTGTGAAATAAAACTTCTTTTCGTACTATCTTAATAAATTTATTGCATCTACAATAATGCTTTCAAAATAATTTTTCATAAATAATAAAATAAAAATAATTTTATTTTATATAATTTCATTTAGTTGCTATTCAAAATCCGGCCGGATTATCTTAAAGTTTAGACAACATAGTAACGTTGATTGCAACAGTTTTTTACTATTTTGTATATACGATATATGCAAAGGAAGAAGCTATAAAATATCTAATGTTTTCCAATAAACTGTATTGTATTTTATCCATGATTCTTTTTTTTGCCATATCCATATCCATATCCATACCCGCTTTTCTTTTTACCACCACCACCCCTGAAATGGAAAAAGCTGTGAACTACTTCACATAGTTTACCTATATTAGACGATTAAGTATACTAACTTAAAAGCCGTAAAGCATAAAAATGGTAAATACTTACATTGAAGTTATCTAATAATATATACAATACAGTCCCAATACATTTAACAAAAATACGGTTATTCGTGGGAGCAAGAAAAAGTAGGGAATATAAGGATAGGAGACGAAAAATTAGAAGTTAGAAAAAGTGGCCGATTTTAGGTACCAAGGAAGTTAGATAAATCAGGAAGGAGTAGTAGATATAAAGCAGAGGATAGCGCAGGGTCGAGTCGCCTTTAATAAAAAGAAGTCACTTCTCTGCTCGCTAGCGAACGATTAATTTAGAAATACGGAAAAGTTTGTTAAAGGTGTACGTTTGAAGCGCGGCGCTGTCCGCTTGGAAACATGGACGGTGGGCGCTGTGGAAAAAAATGCGAAGTTTAGCTCAGGATAGGAAAGAGTGGAGGTGCGTGTCCAACCAGTCTTAGGACAGACGACTTTATGATGATGATATACCGAGAATACACTGAACACCTTTGGTATAAATGGTAATAGTTGCTTACTTTGGTGCCTTTAATTTATAAATTGTTTTTGGAGGTAGTTTTTCGACTTTAGCTTTTCGTACTTTTACAGGTTTAAGCTTTACCGGGCGCAAAGCAACCTCTTTGACTTCTGCTAGTTCCACTTCGATAGGCACTACCTTGAGTTTTTTCACTTTGACTGGCTTTGCTTTTATTTTCTTCAACATTACGGGCTTCAGCTTCGCTTTTTTTATCTTTATGGGCTGAACTTTAACAACAGGACAATAATCTCCGCACCTTTTTACTCTGTGGGCCGTCTGGTGGTTTAGAGATGTAGTGTTTTCGAAATTAGTGGCCTTAAAGTACAAAATAAATATATTATTAAGTGAACTTATAGTGATATTGTATCCCTTTCCATTCCACTAATAATATTTTTTTTTTTTTTTTTTTACAGAGGTACCGACACTGAGAAANCCATGTCACCTGAAGTAATTGTTACATTACCAACCTCTGAAATAGTAATAAAAGTATTAAAGAAATAAAATTCAACCTGAAATAAGTATAAGAGTGTTCAATGTATTATTTGTATTGGATTGGTTTGCTATTAACATATTCGCTATTACCATAATTATTTATCATTCTTTATATCCTTTCAAAGGTTAGAACTTGGATTTAAGATCGTAATCCTGGAAATAACCAACGAATTTTGTATTTCTGCTTAACAGACGTTATTAGTCAATGAGAAATTGAATCATTTAAAAGGAACCAGAATGTTAATTTCATGTTACTTTCAGTGAATTGGAGTCATTCGGAGTCAATATGGAACAAAAGTAGTAGGTCATCACTGAACTTTTTTGCTCATGCTTATACCAAGAGTTATACTGCACTAAAGCGTGCCTACAGTCAGCAGCTACAGATATACTACATCTTAAACAAAACGAAAGTAAGAAACCCTGGATAACAAACGAGATTGTAGGATTAATAGAAGACAGCCGGAAATACAAAACCAGGACAGACAAAGAAGGGCAAAAAAGATATAGGGCTTTAAAGTGGGAAATAATTAGAAAGTGTAGGGCAGCTAAGGCAGTGAATTGATATGAGGTGTAAAGAAGTAGAAGAAAAGTTTGAAGTACGTTAAACGGACAAGACTTATAATATAATTAAAAGGAATTTTAGAAATGTTGGGTACAGTAGTAATAATATAAGAAACAAGGAAGGGGTCATTTTGATAGAAGATGACGAAAAGGTAGATAGGTGGAAAGAATATTTAGAGAACCTATACGCAGGCCATAAGTTAGGAGACATATTAGAGAAGGAAGATAGTGTGGAGATAGGTGAGCTAGATTATACCATAATGAGAGACGAGTTCGATGTAACATTCAAAAACTTTAGGAATAATAAGGTATAGATGAGATACAGGCGGAAATGTTAAATATACTTAAAAATGTAGGGATGAGTTATAGAAATAGAAGAGTAATACTTAGTTTGTATAAAAAGCAACAGGCAGTTATAGAGCTAGAGCTGCAACGTAGGGAAGTAAACATTAAGAAGGGATGCACACTGTCACCTCTACTTTTAAATCTATACATTGAAGCGCGATCAACATCATTAAAGACAGTACAACTGTATAGGGACAGATATACATGGACAAAAGATTAGTATGCTTAGATTTGCAGATGATATTGCACTATTAGCATTTAGCAAGGAGGAGTTAGAGATAGGTTTACATAAAATGGAAGCGGTATTACAATACACTATTGTATGGAAATAAATAAAAGTAAAATAAAAATACTGGATGGATATGCAATGGAAGAAAGCGAATATAAAGATAGGAGACAAAAAATTAGAAGAAGTGGTCGATTTTAGGTATCTAGGAAGTCAGATAAGTCAGGACGGAAGGAGTAGTAGGGATATAAAGTAAAGGATAGCGTAGGGTCGAGTCGCCTTCAATAAAAAGAAGTCACTTCTATGCTCACGAACGATTAATTTAGAAATACGGAAAAGTTTGTTAAAGGTGTACGTTTGAAGCGCGGCGCTGTCCGCTTGGAAACATGGACGGTGGGCGCTGTGGAAAAAAATGCGAAGTTTAGCTCAGGATAGGAAAGAGTGGAGGTGCGTGTCCAACCAGTCTTAGGACAGACGACTTTATGATGATGATATACCGAGAATACACTGAACACCTTTGGTATAAATGGTAATAGTTGCTTACTTTGGTGCCTTTAATTTATAAATTGTTTTTGGAGGTAGTTTTTCGACTTTAGCTTTTCGTACTTTTACAGGTTTAAGCTTTACCGGGCGCAAAGCAACCTCTTTGACTTCTGCTAGTTCCACTTCGATAGGCACTACCTTGAGTTTTTTCACTTTGACTGGCTTTGCTTTTATTTTCTTCAACATTACGGGCTTCAGCTTCGCTTTTTTTATCTTTATGGGCTGAACTTTAACAACAGGACAATAATCTCCGCACCTTTTTACTCTGTGGGCCGTCTGGTGGTTTAGAGATGTAGTGTTTTCGAAATTAGTGGCCTTAAAGTACAAAATAAATATATTATTAAGTGAACTTATAGTGATATTGTATCCCTTTCCATTCCACTAATAATATTTTTTTTTTTTTTTTTTTTTTACAGAGGTACCGACACTGAGAAATTAATCTTTTCTTTTAATCTATAAAAAAGTAGTTTAGATAATGTAGAAATTATGTGGTTGAGTGCAAAATGTGTATTGGTTATTTATTTTTATTTCGATTTGATGATTTCTATGGAAGTTCAACGTTTAAAATTGTTGGTTAAGTCTTACTGCTTCGGCAGGCTTCGGGAAATGTTTTCAGAACGAGTCGAAAGCGCGCGCGCATGAGTCAAAAGTGAGCTTGCAGCCGATAAGACGCGAGAAGCATATAATGTAACATTTGCGTATTCGTGAATCGGAGTTCTTTACGTTCGATTAACGCGCTTATATAATCTAACGTACGTATCATCCTAAAAACATCGACTTCAAAAAAAATTTTTCAACATTTGAAGAATGTCTGGTAATGCAGTTTACATTTTCCGAGTAATTGTAAGTAGTGTAAACAATAATTATAGCGTTAAAGACATTGTCGTAACGGAAATGTTTGATTATTACTTTGTTATTAAATATAAACGCGGTTATTTTAAAAAAAAACAATAATCCGATAAAATTACGGTATACATAGTGATCAATTTTATACGACGATTTGCGTGCTAGTTTGGTTTGAATAAAAGAAAACACAATAGAAAACTTATAAGACAATCCGATAAACTGTTACTTATTATAACCGGAATTTTTCCGTGACAAATAAATAAAATTGTTATGAAAGTGTGTTTAGGAATGTACTGATTTGAAGAGGAAAGAAGAAGTTGCCTACTGGGATATTTCTTAGCATGAATTCGTGTCAGATGATCGAATTTGCAATTTATCAAAGTCACTGGTAATGGAACAGGTAAGGAAGGATTTATTGTAAGGACGAATGAATTTCTGTCGATCCTGTAGGCATATTATGTGGGTAAAAGCGGAACATATCTTATCGTTAGTTGGAAGGATACAATTTAGACATAATTCCGAATCTTCGGAAAGTTGCATTTTTCAAATTTGTTTGACATTTCGGTCGACGACCGTAAAAGAACACATTAAAAGGTTGTCATCTTTTGAAAGTGCTTGCTAGAAACAACCGATACAATAATAATAATCAGCAATAAGAAACTTATCTATATACATATACGTATATATTAGGGTAGGTACACTACGTACTGAGAACCATTTTTGAAATTTGTAATATATAAAAATACAATACTGACTAATAGTTTGATTAAAAATTTTGAGGATTATGCAAAAAAAAAATAATTGCAAGGTATTTTTTCAAATTTCAAAATTTAGTAATTTTTAAGTGGCTGTAACTCTACGACGCCCTTCGCT